TACGCGTATACATACGTACACATACGCGTATACATACGTACACATACATGTATATATACGTATACATATACCTATATATACGTATACATACACGTATATATACGTATACGCCAAAGACTCCATCTTAGCACCAATATGACTGGTTTGTTCCACTTTGGAGTAAGCTGTTTGGGGGAAGAATCAGTTTTGTGTTGTGCGTCTCCTTGACTGATGAAGCCTTCCGGATGGAAGGTGAAACGTTTCAGCAAAAAAAGAAACTGTCCAGAAGACCTGACTGAAAATTGTTGGGATTGTGTACCTGGATTATTGAGCATGGACTTTTTTGTACACATAATGGTTGTGAAGAGAACCCATCCATCATTAAATGGGCAGAGCCTCCGTGTCCAGTTGTCACCTTGAGCTCCCTGTGAATAGCAAGCAGCCATCAGGGCACTAAAACGGTCAGTCGTTAGGTTGATGGTCCTCCTTTATCACGTGAACAGCTAGTTCTAGCTGTCAACAGCAAACTGGTTGATCCACTATGAGAAGAGGCTATTTATAAGACCGTTAATTGCATCTCCTCAGACTGAAGAAGGCTTCTGGATTAAAGACGAAAACGTTTCAAAGTTGTTAGAATCTGACGCCTTGTTTTCAACTGGTGAGGACAAACTGCCACGTGAAGATCACACCAGCTCATTTTACCCTCTGACCAAACGAGCAGCACCTTCGGTTCTCTCTCAGGAAGCTTTGCGTGTGGCAGGTTTAACCCATGAACCCAACAGGAGGAGGTCAAAAGTTCAGACTGGGTCTGAGCGCCTGCTGCAACACCTACCTTTGTCCTTCCATTTATAGAGTAGTTCCCCAGTTTGCCGTTGCAATGTCTGATTATGTCGTCCATGCGACTCATTAGGAACTGGATCTTCTCGCAGCCGGCCTCACTCCCCTCGATCCACGTGATCTTGTCCCCCCGGATGTCCTTCGTGGAGTCGCTCTTCTGGCTCACCAGCTGCCCGTCCGTGAACCTGCCGGTCTTGTACAGGGCCTTGACGTTGTCCAGGACGCTCAGCCCGGTCTCTGCTCCCAGGAAGGTGTCCACCACGCAGATGCCGTGCTTGTTCATGCACGGGACGATGCACTCCGTGGCGAGTTTCTGCGGGGACAGGCTGCTGGTTTGTCCGTTAGGTGTGGCGGGGGTGTTGAGTCCCGCGTCCCCAGCTCTGTCCCCGGCTGCCTCCGTTGCGGGCTGTTCGGGGCTCGTCGTGTCTCGGGTTTTGTCCTTGTCCTCCTCCGACTGTCCCGGCTTCTGTTTGTGCAGGAGAGCCGCCTTGTTGTCCGCCTCCTTACAGACGAGCTTGTGCTTCTTCCAGTCCTGCTTCTGGTGCTCCTTGCTGCAGTAGAAGGAGCTCCGGCACCTACCGCACTTCAGGAGGTTCTCCATCTTCCCACAAAGTTCACAGTACTGCCGGTCCCGGTCCAAATCGTTCTGCTGCTTTTCCATGTCGGAGGCTGTTCAGTTGTTGCGCTGCTCCTCGATTCAGATTCTTCGCACGCGCGCCCCGCTAACCGTCCGGGGGGAAAACAGCCTCTCTCTGCCTCGCAACGCGGAAATAAAACTCAAAACCACGCCATTTTTTCATACTCATTCCGTCTCCAAACGCTCTATCAGTGGATTAACGCATCGATGTGCGCCCAGGGACGAGGATTCAGAGGTGGGTCGAGGTCTTCGGGAGGCATTTTAGCAGGCTAGCTGTTGGTGCGACGTCCGTGTGTACTGCATGGCGCAGCTGCGTGTGCCGTTTGCTTGTGGACACGCCCACTCTGACGTCTACGCACAGGCACCGCCTCTCGCGCTGCCTTCAGGAACCGTCGAACAAATGAAGCACTGTTGTGGACACGTGGAAGCTACTTAAATTTTAATTAATTAATTTAGGCTAAACCAATTAGCATTCAAATTAGCTCCACGAAATATATTATACCCATAAAATACCCATGGATGTATTTTTTTAATCACTTGTACCACACAATACACTTTGTCTATGTTATAAACGTTTTACTGTATATGAATTATTAGAAGAAGGAAAAAAAAACACTTACTGGCTTTGTTTGCTTTTTCCTCCTTTGCTGACAGACGCAAAATTCGACTCTTAAGTTAACACTTCATTGACATTAAACTCAGCATGTGGAAGGTTCAAAGGTAGTGCAATTGTAGCACGTGAAGGCATCTACATTTCCAGTGTTTTCTTTATATAAAAACAAATATATATTTTGCATGAAGAGAATATTGCTCCTCTAACTGAAAGATCAGTATTGAATCATTTTCTTGAAGTTTATTACTTATTAGAGTGCGTATTAAGAATGTGAGGGTCGATAATCGGTCCGACATTGTCCAAGTATGAAAACTTAAATTATATAGTACTACATTTCCCATGGTGCCTTTCGATTCGTTCTACGTTCGTAAAAAGCGCAAGATCCTGACGTATGTCTGTACGAGAGCGCCTGTTTAAAAAAAACGTACATTTATTTCGTGGTAACAGATGCATAGACTTCATTTAATAATTTTATTTGCTTAGATATATAATATTTATCTGAACGATTGAAAGTTCGTTTGTCTAATAATCGCATTAATATCTAAAGTAAATGCACGGAGGCTAAAACCAAAACAGTTAGCATCTTCTGTAGCCTAGCTTTGATTCACTAAAAGGAAAACCCGCTACGAAGAAGAAGGCATGAACAAGCGTGAGGGTAAGTTCATCGTTATGAGACTTAATTACTAATAACTAGGGCTCTGTAGACGAGTTGTATGAGATGCGAATTCAGCTATCTAACTTGGCTTTAACATTAATTTGGAAAGTTTACTTTGAACTGCTTGCTTTGCTATCTAGTCCGGACAAGCCATTAATCAAAATAAGAAATAAAGAAGTAGCATAACTGCTTGCGAAAAGACCGAGTACAATAAATTTGATTAAAATTAACTTCATACATATGTCAAAACACAGGTAGACCAAAATAAGCATTTTGTTAGCAATAAACTAAAGCTATCATAATTTTCTGACTTGTTTTATTCCATTAAGATAATGTAATAGGTCAAAGGTTAATTAAAGGTTTCAAATGTCAGACTACTGACATGAATGTGTGGAGATTATTATTTAATTGCAATTATAGTTTTGTTGGTTATTTTGAACCTAAACGTTTTGATACCAAAGTAGAGGTCAGTAAATATAATCCTAATTTTGTTAGATTTGCAGTTTTTTCTGTTTGTGTGTGTGCATGCTCACTGGGACTCCAGAAATTACAACAAAACACATAATATTGTGATTTTTTTAAATTCATCCATCCATCTGTCCATCCATTCATCCATCCATTATCTTCAGTTTGTTCCGGAGACCGGACCGGGGGCGGGTCGGGGAGACAGCTTTAGCAGGGACGTCCAGTTATCTCTTTTTACAGCCACCACTCATCTGGAAGGACTCCAAGGTTTTCCCTAGCCAGCTAGTCTCTTCAGGGCGTCCTGGATCTTCCCTGGGGCCTCCTCTCAGTTGCACATGCCCAGAAATACTCCGATGGGAGGTGTCCTTGTGGTTCTAGAACCCATGTCACGCTTTGAGGCGAGCCTGACTATATTCGGTACATTTAAGCCTCATGCACCAGCTCAAGCTCCTTCCATATCGGAAAGGTGGATTGACCCAGGATTAAGCTTTGATAAGCCAGAGTCAGAACCCCAAGGACACCGCCGTCGACAGCCACCACTTTGCACCTGACCCGTAAGGCTCCTCCAGCACGTGGTGGGTCCACGGTGAGGTGAGCCCATGTTGCCCGAGCCTGACCAAGCCCCTTGGGTTGAAGCCCCGTCCCTAGGTGCTTGTTGACCTGGCTCTGTGGTGGGACCCTGGTAATCCACGTGCGGGTGAGGGACGTGACCACCTTGCTATCCTCCGTCATTACTTTGGTCAAACCGAGTTTCGGCATCCCCCAGAAACCAACAGAAGTCAAATGTGTTTGTCATTGAATTCTTTCAGCTGCTTCACCGGACTTCTTCTGCATTGTTTCAGGTGACGGATGCTCAAGGAAAAATCTTGATGCTTCACAGGAGCGTGACGCAAGTGCCAACTCCTCCTCACCGGTCATTGCTGCCTTCAAAGGTAACAACATCCCTTGATGTCCGACTGCACTTTTCACCCACCTGATTATTGTTTTTATGCTAAAAGTGAAACCAGTCTCTCTGTCCTTAAAGTTTTTCAGCAGGAGCTCGACACCAAACACGACAAGTATGAACGACTCGTTAAGATTAGTCGGGACGTCACCATTGAGAGCAAGAGGACCATTTTCCTCCTGCACAGAGTAACCAAGTGAGCACTGTTTTAGAGAAACGCAAACATTTAAACATTCCATTTATATGAGCCATCAAAATCCATTTAATAAATGTCATCCCTTTTTTTTTAAACAAGAAATTGCTTCAAAACTTGTTATAAGCACGACTGAATCGTGAGTGAGCATCTGTGATGCATTAGATTGTTTAGGATTATGAATGTCAAAACATAAATGCAGAAACGAATTACCATAAGAAAGCAGCTATGAGTACTAATGATGTTTTTTATCTCTTGCAGTAGGCTAATTTAGAAATTATTATTTATCGGGGATGCAAACTGTAAAGGTTTAGCTTCGTTTTTCAACTATGTTTGCAGATAAAATGTTACAAATAGCCACCAGAGGAATTTAGAAACATGCGTCAAAGTTTTAACTTTTAAAACTGTCAAGAGCAGGAAAAACTAGAGAAATCTGTCCCTTTTCAAAAATAAACAGAATTCATACTCCCCTCGTGGAATGACGGTCCAGATTTCTGCTGATGATTAAATGTGACGTCAGCAGCAGGTTTCAGTGTCAGTGAGGCAAAAAATCTGCTGCTTCTATAAAACTGTCGTTTTTTTTCCAAGTCCTGCTCTCTGAGCATTTTATTTATTTTGAGTTGAAGTTTGCTTCCTTTGCCACAGATGTTAAACTTGAACAAACAGTATTTTTATATTCATTCAACCTTGATTTAGACAGAGAAGTCACATTGAGCCTAGAAGGCTCTTTTACATGTGAGATCTATTTAGACAGACAAAAAGTAGTGAAACTAGACACATGTAGGAATTGGAGGTCAAAAAAA